TCGACTAGGCTTGCTTGCTTGCCCCCCCCCCCCCCGGCGACCGAGACTTTCGCTCGCATGGGACCCAGAACCGCACACGGCGGGTACATCGCTAGAGGCTGCTACTGACCGTGACCATCCGAACAACCTGGACAGTATGGGTTGGTGACCTTCGAGTTGCCATTTGCGCCCTCGCTTGTCGGCCCTTCCAGATGTCTGCCAATCGACGATGCCTCAAGTTTGGCGGTGGCGAGCCTGCGCCGCGTTCACGCAAATTGACCCTCAAGATGTTATTAGCCCAGTACTCCCAGTCGGGGCCTGGCCCAGCCTGGCCTGGCCACCTTCATTATGTTCTTGCTGCTTCGCCCACCTTGGCCCCTCCGCGGAGACGGTTGTATGAGCCTGACAAAGCGAGTCGTGACCGAGCGTTACGGCGCAAAGAAGCCGAAAGTGGGCTGCCAGTGAGAGGGGCCTGTCCATATCCCGTCGCTTTGCCTGATGTTGGCCGTTTCTCCCCTACTCTCGGTACATACTAGGCGCACCCACCGATATCGCGGAGGCGGTGGCAGCTGCGGCTGATGCAGTTGAAGGATGCCGTTCTCGTCTCTGAACGGAGCGAGGTTGAGGCGGCGTCAAATGAGTCGTGTCAAGTCAAGTCCACGCGCCCCGCCGCGAGCCGGATGACCGGGAATGTCGAGCAGACCGGTGTGTTTGCCGAACATGGATTCCAGGGGTTCACGGCTAGAAGCATTTTCTGCTTCTACTCTGCTTCTGTTTTCGCTTCAGTCTCCAGATGACCCTGAAGAAGCGTCGTGAACCGGGTGACTCAAATGTCCGCCCAGGGTGTGCTTCAAGCATTCGAGCATCAGCAAAGGTCGGATGCAAATGTAAATCAAGTTGTTGCACAAGAATGCTGAAGTGAATCAGAGTCGACAGGGCGTGAATTGACACTGCAGATCCTGTTTTTCAATCTCACAGGGAAGATGACGATGGGCGGGGGGGGGGGGGAGAGGGGGGAGCTGAGAAGCTGAGAACAGGCAGCTGACAGGTGTGGGGGAGGAGGGGAGATTGGATGCAGTTCGCACGTCCAGTGTCACTGCCTGTCAAGCAAGCGAGCGCGCGTGTGCGCCCGCTCGCACAGGGATGGATTATGAGACGGAAAGCGCTCGATCTGATGTACTCGTGATGATGAGCTGGCAGGTGTGTCGC